TTATTCGCTCAACTCCAACTAACAAACGTTTCTCCTGTTTTCTGCTTTTTAAAAATAAAACTACCCACACCAGAACTGCCTCTCATGACTAAAGTCCATGTTAATGTCAAGATATATATCTTTAATCATATATATTTAAACATCTGGACACCACAAAACTATTTTTGCTTTTATTTATCTAATTACTTTAGATTATTCAAGATCTTCTGTTTCTCCAAACTCCCCTGAGACCAGCAGTAAGACCACCATCCAGGAGAAGAACTCAGCAGGTAAATGGCAGCTCATTTAGGGGGATAAACACCTTTAGCGCCATCTAGTGGTTAGTTCTGACACCTGCAGCTGAGTTAATGCAGCTGCAGGATTTAAATTATTCATCTCTTTCCACCATGATCTGCTTTTGCTTCCTCCTGTGGAGATTTGAGAGGTAGTGTGGCCTTCAGCCAATCACTCTCAGGCATTTTAGAGGCACATCTTAATGTCTTTTGATTGTGGGAGGAAACTGGAACACAGAACAGAGCAACCACTGAGCAGATTTCTGCAGATTGGTTTATTTTTGTGTTTTCTGTGATCCCCAAAGGTGGGACGTCCATGTTTGGGACAACGGAGAACTACCCCATGTACAACAGCACGGACAGAAACATAACAGGTAACCAGCTCACCTGGTTTTAGTCACATCTCATGATGCTATTAGTGATATTTAAAGGGGACATATTATGCAAAACCAAGTTTTTAATCGTTTGATTATGTACATTTGGGACTGAGGAGGGCCTATCAGCAGGAAAAATGTGAAAAAAATGACTCAGTCATGTTTTTGTGGGCCGCCTCAGTCTGAATCCAGGAGATAAATCAGCAGGTTTCAGGAGTGGGTAGTTTCTGACGTCATTAGCTCTAGCTCATTATAATATTATTATTATTATTATATTAATATTATTATATATTATCTAGCTCATTATAATATTCCAGCCTTTCACCTGCATGTTGCCCCCCCCCTCAGCTTACTCCCCTATCTGTGGAGACGTCCTGGTAGCGTTAGCGTTAGCATGGTAGCGTTAGCGTGCCGACGTGGGCACACCTCCCGGAAGAAGTGGGTGGATTGCCTGTGTCTCATTTGCATTTAAAGAGACAGGCACTCCAAAGCGAGCGCTCTGAACGGGGCTGTTTTGGGTTAGTGTTAGGGTTAGGGTTAGGGTTAGGGTTAGGGTTAGGCAGGGGGACTGAACTGCTATTGGGTTTCATCCTTATGGGATTTTGACCAAAGCTTGTCACAGACATTACATTAGGACACCAGGGAACTAGTTTAACTTGTTGAAATAGGGTATGATATGTCTACTTTAAGTAGTTAACTCATCGCCTGCCAGCCATTTTCAGAACAGAGAGTCCCATACTGCCAGAGTTTTTATGACTATGTGAACACCGAACACACCAAAAGAAAGAGTAGACTCTCTTCTTTCATCAGGAAAAGAATTTTGTTTCTACCTTATTCCGTTCGGCGACATATTCTCTCATAGCGAACCGTTACCTTTTTTTTGCCTACAGTCTATGCTCATCTCCCATCAAAAGTGGCACTGCCCCCTAGAGGGTCAATTTGTTACTACATACTCTAGTCTAGAAGCCGATATTTACGGAGGAGCTTTAGCAGATCGTTCCCCAGCCACTCTCGTTGAAAAACATAAAAGACGTCTATAGACGTCTTTGACAGCCAATGAGTTAAATGTGGTGTTCTGTCCATTTCTAGATGGCTTTGGCTCAAACAAGCGAGTAGGGAAGGAGGGGAATTCGACTTTGCTGGTCCTCCTGGTCACCTGCCTGATCTTCGGCCTTCTGGTGGTGGTCATCTTTTTTGCTATCAAGCTGAGGAGGGCCCACCTGATGTGGAAGAGAGGTGAGCAGTCTTTTTTTTTTGCATTAAAACGCGGCGCTAGTAGATCCCTGCCACCGGATTCATGCTGGAAACATCTCACAGTTTTCATCGTTACAGAGAATGAAGACTCCAACCCGTCAGAGGAGAGCAGTAAATCTAAATCCAGCCAGGAGGAGAAGAACGCCCAGGGACAAAGACGAAGAGGTACACAAGATTATTCGTATTTTCAAAAGATTATTCGCATTTTTTCTGCTTGTTTTCCCTGTTTTTTACTAAATATACCAAAAAAGTAGGAGGCGTCCATCTCTAAACTTTCTCTGAAATGCTTTTAAAGTCTTTTATTTTGATTTAGAGAGGAATATTATGGCACAGGATGATTATGAAGATGTTTATTATTAAGCCATGAACACTCAGCCATGCAAGTTTGGCCCCTATCAAAAAGAAAACTAGTAAAAAAATCGCTGTACACATAACACTATGGATTTTGATTTTTTATCTTAATCTTATGCTTTAAATGTGGAACACAGTCCAGTGGGCCTGAGATGGCGAATTTCTTCACTCATAGAAGTCTTGGAAGATTGAGTTAAATTTATCCTCTTATTTAAGAAATAAATGCCATTTGGGGCCAGTGACAGGAAGGAAACCAGCCATTAAATCCTGTTTATATTTAAAATACAGAATAACCAAAAAGTAAAGGAAATCCTATCTGAGAATGCAGTTGTTTTTCTGTCTTTTTTATCATAGTAAAATGTGTATTTTTCCTTTAATTAAAGCTGGTAGAAGTCATTGGTTCTGTTCATTATTTCATGTGCTGACGCTAGCCGTTGTCCGTAAACTAACAAACACAAATGTAAAAATCAGCATAACATCTTTAAGGTCATCAAGCACTTTACGTGCTCAGATTCTGGTCCTGTCCTCAGAAACAGGTCTGATTTGCATCACCTCACAAATCTCCAGTGGGAAACCTTTTGTCTCTCTGTGTTTCAGGCGTTTTGAACACGGCGTTCACACAGTACGTGGTGGAGGAAGAGTCTCCGGTGATAACTTCAGTCATCAACACAAACGCAATCGCAATGGCCCCGAACCAGAGAGGAGAGCCGCCCTCTCCTCCTCAAACCGCAGCCAAGATAAAGGAGACGGCGCTTTAACAAGTCCTGGATTTGCCTGTTAATGCACTTTGCCTGACAAGATGCTGGGAAAACACTTTGCACGTTCGTCTGAGCAGAAATCTGAGCTCAGTGCTCAGTTTCAGGGAGTAAACTGAGTCCCTGGCATGTCAGTGGATGACGGATCGGACGGAAAAAAGAGGCCATTTTCCCACCGATTCTCATTAAAAGTCAGATCTGTGATAAAAGCAGCTTTAAAATACTCGCAGCCTTCGTAGCGTGGGTGCTGAAGGGATGTCCGCATTGCTCTGCTGCTGCATGAGTGGCTGAATGGAAAAATGTGTGAATCAGCAGGTTTGATGAAATGCTCTTTGAATGTAAGTTGACTTTGAAAAAATGTATGTTGCACGTGTAAATATCATATAAATGTATATATTTTGTACCAATAAATATTATTTTGCTAAAACATGCTGTGTTGGAACTTCTATGAGCCCTGAGGACAAACAAAGCAACATTAGAATACACAATATCCAGTATTTCTCAGAAATAAGTGGCCTCCAGGTATCATGAATGGTCATTTTAGATGAATAGATGCCAATTTAAAATAATTAAATCCAGAATGTCAATATACGCCATGACACACTGTAAGTAAAAGCTTTCCCAGTAGTTTATAACTGGGGGAACTGAAATCGTTGGCCATGTCTATGGCAGGTCTTATAGGCAAAGAAAATAGAAATAAACTTGATTAATCCACTGTATGAGGGTTTTCTTAATTTTCTTCATGATTTTTTATATTAATTTCTTCCCAGTGAAAGTTTGTTAAATATTGTTAATACATTTAATCAATATAAATATTTAGGAAAGCCTTTAAGAGAGCCGTTCAAATGTCCATTTTGCATCGAAAGACAAAGCAGCAATCTGAAGCCATGCGGCCATTCTCCCATTACGAAATCCAGAACGTGAAGAAGAAGAAGCAAGGCTGTCACGTGACGTGGTCATGAAATGCGCCTGTTCCAATTGGTTAAATACCGCTGATGACGCGTCGAGCAGCTCGAAGCTGATAGGTTCCTGTGCCGGTAATATAAGGCGTCCAGCGCCGCATTCGGCCTTCTTCCCCTCTCATACCGGCAAGGCTAAGCGCCCCTCGCCGTTGTCCATTCCATCCCAACACATTCGGTCAAAAGGAAATCAGCAGTTTGGTAAGTTATATTTGTTAAAATATTGACGTTGAACTTCTTAAAATTGAATTTCTCACCGAATATGTATCAGTGGTAGCACAGAGCTCTGTCACTCGGCCTAAAATATGAATATTTAAATTGTTTAAAGTATTTAAATAATTACATCTTGACGCCATTAAGAGGTGGTTAGTAAATATAAACGGGATTAATGTCTCTCCGTTAATTTAAAGGCTGTAATTTTAAATTAGCCGTTGGTTTGCCTGCTAAACCGGGTGGGGGTGGGGATTCCTGAACGTTCCAGAATGTTCTCGAACGACCGTTAAGCTTTCTACTAGGAGCTCACTTCCGGTTAAGGATTAATCGGAGATTTACAGCTTTTTAGGGAAAAAGGAAAAGGGTAATTCATTATGAACCGGTGCTAGGGTGTTGTAAATTCGGTTTCTCATATATTTTAAGTTGAAATGTTTAGTGCACCGCAGCTTATCTTGGGCGGCCCGTCGTAAAGCCGCTGTCTCATTGTCACATGGCCACGAAGGGCGCCATGTTCTTTCAATGCGGATTTTTTCCTGAAGGGTAGTTGGCATTATGCATGAGTCATATAGTTATTTCTGAATTTGGATGTTGGTTTTGAAGACTCCCCGATTAGGTTTTAGATGTACTTGATGTATCTTGAGTTCATTTCGAGCTCTTTTTTTTTTGCATCGCATTTTTAAGACGATGTACAAGTCAACCTAAACAATTGTGTTTTCTTCTCTCCTGTAAAATGTTATTTTAGGCAACATGTCTAAGGGACCAGCAGTTGGTATCGACCTGGGAACCACCTACTCCTGTGTAGGTGTGTTCCAGCATGGCAAAGTGGAAATCATTGCCAATGACCAGGGCAACAGGACCACTCCCAGCTATGTGGCCTTCACAGACTCCGAGAGGCTGATCGGAGATGCAGCCAAGAACCAGGTCGCCATGAACCCCACCAACACAGTCTTTGGTAAGGATTCTTTCACATAATTCAAGTTTATTATTAGATATGAGCACTGAATTTCTTTTGACCTGGAATTGTAAACTATTAATCTTGCGAAAAGTGTTGGCACTGGCTTTTTGCTACTGGAAGTTAAACTGATGATTAATTCATTTCTGTAATGATTTCAGATGCCAAACGGCTGATTGGCCGCAGGTTTGATGACCATGTTGTCCAGTCCGACATGAAGCATTGGCCATTTAACGTTATCAATGACAACACCCGCCCCAAGGTCCAAGTAGAGTACAAGGGAGAATCAAAATCCTTCTACCCAGAGGAAATTTCCTCCATGGTGCTCACAAAGATGAAGGAAATTGCTGAAGCCTACCTTGGAAAGGTATGTCCCTCATTTGGTCAATACTATTGTGGTTGGACTCTCACTTAATTTGACTAAATGCTAATTAATTTCTCTTTTTAGACGGTCAACAATGCTGTCATCACAGTACCTGCCTACTTCAACGATTCCCAGCGTCAGGCCACAAAAGATGCCGGCACCATCTCTGGGCTCAACGTTCTACGTATCATTAATGAGCCGACAGCAGCTGCCATCGCCTACGGGCTGGACAAGAAGGTGAATATTAATGAAGGGCTTCTAGTACTTCCTGAACACTCGGCGTGCATCTCTCCTTTTTATTTTATTTTTCTTAGAACTTTTTATTCAATCGGCTTTAGTAATTTTACATAACATCTCCTGACAAAATCTCAAGTAGTAAACATCACCACAGACAAATGCCAAACATTTTGACAATTATGACAGCAGGCAGAGCAGATGACATCCACAATCTATAATCTGTTACCCAACAGGACCCCTTCCCATAGAGGAATTCCATTCTCTCTATCCTGTAAACGTGTCTCTGGACGCATTCACTTAGAGCTGGTAGTTTTACATCTCTTCAGTGTATAGTAATCATATTCTTTGCTACCAGTAAAAGATCTCTCAGTATATATGAGCTACATTATATCTGTTTTTAGGTATGGCTCCCTATAAAAATATCAGTGTCAGGGGTCACCTTTACTTTCAATATTCCTCCCATTTCCTTTTTAATATTGTTCCAGAATCCTTGTATTACCAGACAATCCCAGAAAATGTGTGGCATCTCCAATATTTCCACAATTTTACCAACATAATGCTATGCTGGGATTCTTTTTACAAATGAGATTATAATGGGAGTATTGATATATATGATCTTTACTTTCCAGTCAAACACTTTCCATAATTGGCTGCCAATTCCCCTATAAGAGCCGATACATATGTCCACCCATGTAGAGTTTTTGATTATAACATTTAATTTTAATTCCCATTTTTCCTTGATTGTTCATGTTTTGTAAACCTTTTGTATATAATAACTTTTAGTTGCCCTCTCTCTCACACTCTCCCTCTCTCGCCTATTAGTTTTTTTATTTTTTGGTAGGGAAATGCTTCTCTATAACTGTTTTTTTATTTATTTCAGGTTGGGGCAGAAAGAAATGTCCTGATCTTCGATCTTGGCGGCGGCACCTTCGACGTGTCCATCCTGACCATCGAGGACGGCATCTTTGAGGTCAAGTCCACGGCCGGAGACACCCATCTGGGCGGGGAGGACTTCGACAACCGCATGGTGAACCACTTCATCGCCGAGTTCAAGCGCAAGTACAAGAAGGACATCAGCGACAACAAGAGGGCCGTGCGGCGCCTGCGCACCGCCTGCGAAAGGGCGAAGCGCACCCTGTCCTCCAGCACCCAGGCCAGCATCGAGATCGACTCCCTGTACGAGGGCGTGGACTTCTACACCTCCATCACCAGGGCCCGCTTCGAGGAGCTGAACGCCGACCTGTTCCGCGGCACCCTGGACCCCGTGGAGAAGTCCCTCCGCGACGCCAAGATGGACAAGGGCCAGATCCACGACATCGTGCTGGTCGGGGGCTCCACCCGCATCCCCAAGATCCAGAAGCTGCTGCAGGACTTCTTCAACGGGAAGGAGCTCAACAAGAGCATCAACCCAGATGAAGCTGTGGCTTATGGAGCCGGTAGGAATCATACACCTCGCAAATTTGTTTTCAGGATCAAACTCGTTATTCAGATCGTTTGCAAAAACATGGTTCCTCCCCTATTTATATCTGATCCATAACCACTATCCACACCACCCTCTAGTCACTTATTAAATAAGGCTTGGACTTAATTAACAGTACCAAAATCAGACAAGTATATTTTTTTTAGGCAGATTTTGGTTTTCAGCTAATTGATCTTTAGAAATTACACTTTTTTTTTCTCTGTTCATTAAATATGGAAAGTTTACAAACAAGGTGCCAAAAAACATTTTTGTACTGTATATTATGTTAGAGCTCATCCAAATGAAATCATGAATAACAGAATTTCTAGTGAACTTATTTTGACTAATTTAAAACAGAGGCACATATGCTGATGAAGAAAAATGAGCATAATGTGGAACCATTTGTCAATTTTTAGGGAACTACAAGCAAGAAATGTTTGGATATCTTTAGAAGTCAATTTGACCCATCTGAAAACGGAAAGCCTGCAGAACTATTTCTCAATAGCACTTATAAAAACAAAATAGAAAAAAAGCTTTTAAAAAAACTGTCCCAATAAAACTATGACTAAGTTTGATATGACAAGGCATACATTTATTCACCATGTAAATACATTTTATCCTTTCTTTGCATTAAAGACAAAGTTTACAAAAATATTTTTGTACAATATAATATGTTAGAGATCGGCCTTTGCGAACAGATTTGGCCCTAACTATCCCCTTTGTGCCTCCAGCTGTCCAGGCCGCCATCCTCTCCGGGGACAAGTCTGAGAACGTGCAGGACCTCCTGCTGCTGGACGTCACGCCTCTGTCTCTGGGCATCGAGACGGCCGGCGGCGTGATGACGGTTCTGATCAAACGCAACACCACGATCCCCACCAAGCAGACGCAGACCTTCACCACCTACTCCGACAACCAGCCCGGCGTGCTCATCCAGGTGAGGCTCCACCAGACTCACTCCGCCTCCAGAGCGTTTCGCTGTGATGACGTTTATTCCTGCCATTCGTAGTTTCCACCAGAGGTTGTAAAACCAAAGATGGCCCCTGACCTTCCTTGGATGTCTGAGCGAAATCGAACTAAAACTGGAAGAACCTGAGAGTTTATGCCTTTTTTTCTAAATCCTCCTCCTAACCATCTGCTGTTTTTCTTTTTTACCTCAGGTTTATGAGGGAGAGAGAGCCATGACCAAGGACAATAACCTCCTGGGCAAGTTCGAGCTGACGGGGATCCCCCCCGCCCCCCGCGGCGTCCCCCAGATCGAGGTCACCTTCGACATCGACGCCAACGGCATCATGAACGTCTCCGCCGTGGACAAGAGCACCGGCAAGGAGAACAAGATCACCATCACCAACGACAAAGGTGGGTGTGGGATGTTATGATGAAGAAAGTACTGGTTGAGTCTTGCCATTTATTAATCAAACTTTGCTAAAGTTGGGGGTTTGGTAGAAAACATTAAGGATGCAAAGTTGTGGTTGCTAAACAAAGACAGAAATAAAGTAACAAATGGTACAATATTTCTGTACAAATGGAACAGGAAATTGTACTTGTACCATAAATGTATTCATTGCTTATGCTGTACAGGATTGCTAACACGCTAATGCTAAGTCGAGGAACATTCTAGACATTTCCAAACACACGGACAGATTGTCTTGCTCAAATACAAAGGTATAAAGGATTGTAGAAACTAACTAAATAGCTGTACAAATTATATTAAGCAAAACAAGGAAAATATGGGCATTTGCATTCACAACAGCACAGACTTTCCCAAAGGCCAGAGAGTCTGATAATACAACAGCATGATGGGGACTTTCTGGCATGATCAGTTCCTTAAAGGGACAGCACCACATTTCTTAAAGGCAAAGTCATTAGTGTAGGTAAACAGGAAAATATAGACATGCAAAGCAGGCTGCCGACTCCATTTCTGACCGGGATTTCCCCCCCCTCCAGGTCGCCTCAGCAAGGAGGACATTGAGCGCATGGTGCAGGAGGCGGAGAAATACAAGGCGGAGGACGACGTGCAGCGCGACAAGGTGTCGGCCAAGAACGGGCTGGAGTCGTACGCCTTCAACATGAAGTCCACCGTGGAGGACGAGAAGCTCGCCGGCAAGATCAGCGACGACGACAAACAGAAGATCCTGGACAAGTGCAACGAGGTCATCGGGTGGCTGGACAAGAACCAGGTACCGGGCTCAGTCAGGGGGCAGATTAAGCGGTTTTTACTAATAGAGGGCTTCAACAGGCCATTGGAGATGAAGGAAATCTATTTATTTCACAATCTTCTAAATCGGAGGTCTTCAACAAGGGGGTCTGTGACCCCTAGGGGGTCCTAGAGGTACTGCATTTGGGTGATTAAAGTTTTGGTTGGTTAGGGTTTCTTTTTTTATATAATCCCCCCCTAAATTCTTTCCACAAATCAAACTTGGAGATACTCTGGCCAATGAGACTGCGGGTACTGCAGGGCAATGAAAGTTTTGGTTGATTAGACTTTTTTAATATATTCCCCCCCTAAATCTTTTTCCACTTTATTCCTATATATTCTTTGAACCACATTATGGTTTAAACCTTTTAAATTCCTGTGAAGGCCTTATCAAGGCCTACAAAATATTATTTATATATTTATCTACTTACTCTGATAAAAACTTAATGGTTAGGACACAGACCTGTGGGTTCGCAGATGCTAATGTTAATGTGGGATTGGACTTTAAAAATAAAAAAATTGGCGGCCCATCTGATCCAGATATTGAATCGTGTCAAGCCTAGTCGAGATTCCCATATTTGGATTTTTTTTTTTTTTTTATAAAGTCTGATCCCACACGAGCATTAGCATCTGCTAAAGCCAATGCTAATTTGAGTATCTTGGTACTGAATGCCCAATAACAAGGTACATTTACACACTGTAGGACCATAATATATTATTTTAGATTACTAATTACTCTGTTCTAATCCTGTCTGTTCCCTATATACTTATATATTATATAACTAATATATTATTTGATATTACTAATTACTCATTTCTGATCCCGTTTGTTCCCTATATACTTATATATTATATAACTTGTATATTTTATATTACTAATTACTCTGTTCTGATCCCATCTGTTTCCTATATACTTATATATTTTTTATATTAATAATATATTTTATATTACTAATTACTCTGTTCTGATCCCATCTGTTTCCTATATACTTATATATTTTTTATATTAATAATATATTTTAGATTACTAATTACTCTATTATCATTCCATCTGTATCCTATATACTTATATATTTTTTATATAACTAGTAATTTTATATTACTAATTACTCTGTTCTAATCCCATCTGTTTCCTATATACTTGTATATCATATTTTATAAATATATTACTAATTACTCTGTTCTAACCCCGTCCGTTTCCTCCTCTTTAGACCGCAGAGAGGGATGAGTATGAGCACCAGCAGAAGGAGCTGGAGAAGGTGTGCAACCCCATCATCACTAAGCTGTACCAGAGTGCGGGGGGCATGCCGGGGGGGATGCCCGAGGGGATGCCGGGCGGATTCCCAGGGGCCGCCGGTGCCGCCCCCGGGGGGGGGTCCTCCGGCCCCACCATCGAGGACGGCCGCCAAGAGGCCCCCCAACCCCCCCCCCCCCCCCCCCCCCCCCACCCCAACACACACGCCTCCCCGAGATGTTTTCTAAGAAAAAAAACCCTCTTACAGCACGTTACATCAGGCGTAAGAGCGAATCTCCACAGGTAAACTGGGATCACATTTATTGCAAGGTTTGGGACGACTGGGAAAACTCCTTAAGCATCACTTCCTGTTTGGAGTGTTTTGTACTGGGATGTCACTGCCTTGACAATAAATCCTGAAACCCTTAAAGACGACTTTTGCTTCTCCTTAATGCACTTTGATGGTCATTTCTCTTCACCTAAAGACTTCTGGTGTCTAAATGTTTGTATTAAAATGAATAAAAATGGCTGAAACTATGAAATGATGTGGATTTAGAGTCTAAAGCCAAATATGTCTAATTTTTAAAAAATTTTTTTAACCTAAACCAACTCAAAATTATGACTCAAATTTACCTCATCCACCAAACTTGGTATTACAGGAAATGGACTCATGATTAGTCAGATTTAGAAAGGACTTAATACCCAACTGCTAATTGGCTTTGTGATGTATTATCCTGGATATGGAGTCCCATTTTTAAAGAAAGATCATGGTGTTTTCTTTATGGAGTATAAGAACTTTTTTCTTTTTTTAATACATTTATTTTTCAACATTTTCCAACACATAAAGGTACCAATCAACAATTACAATGGACATTTTCATAACAAGGGGCGATGTATAATATATACAGTAAAATCCAATAACAAAAAACAATAAATATAATTAAAAACAATCATTATGGAAAGCACATTAAAAGTAAAATAAAATAGGAGGGGCTGTAATCAAAGTAATGAAACTTGCTTTTTCTTTTAGTTATCGATCTTGCATAAGATTGATATATAATATATATATATATATATAAATATATTGAGTATAAGAACTACAAGTCAATTTAGTTTAGGATGCAGGAAGAACTTGATTCACGTCTCCTTTTCGTCCAATAAAAACATTTTATTTGTAAAAGTCGGCTTTCTGGTCTATTTTTGCTTTTGGGGGATGAATGTCTACACAAGAACAATAAATTGACCCATCAATGACTCGCTCCTTTCAGTCCTAAAACGGTTTATCTTAATCGTTGTGACTAAAGACGCCATTATTGTTTGACAACCGGAAACCGGAGCTTTGAACGGAACACCTGAACGCACCACAACGTGGACGTCGTTTCCATGGAGACGGCAACGGAAAACAGGTGAGTGTTTTAGCGAGTTTTTAGGCCAAATTTTTACCAATACGCCGCATTTTGGTGTCATTTTGGTTTCCTTTTAGTAAAAGAAACATGCTAAAGGCTTGTTCTTGTGGGAATTGAACATAAATTAGCTCTAAAAGTTCGGGTTTGGTGACTGCTCAACTCGCTATTTAGTTAATGACCGACGGGGGAATTTAGCTTTTCTTTTCATTGTGAAGACAAAAGAAACGTTTTGCATCGTGTATTCACATAAAAATAGCAACTTTCCCAAAGAAAGTCATTCAATTTGAAGCTGTTTAATGATTCTTAGCCATGTCAAACACAGGTGGAAATAATTGATTTTCTAATCTTTAGCTTCACGGTCCCCTTTTTTTTTAAATATCTCAGACACAAACCACATAATCAACACAAACTGAGAAACGGAAAGTTAATTATCATTAGATCCATGATGTTTAGTGTAGCTGGTTTGATGTTTTCTTCCCCTTTTTGTGGTATATAAAAGGTTTTACGATTTTTTTTGTTGCTGGGTTAGTTCCTTTTTCTTAACTTCATCCCTTTCAGATCCTCTTCACCTAATGGAGAGAGTTTTTTGAGAGTTTTTACTTGTCCGGTTTCCTCATATTTTAAAGGGTACACTCTTTTTATCACACATCATCTAAGGAAATGGGAGAACATGATGTGCTTTTGTGATTTACAGACATAGATGATGAATAGGTTTGCATTTTCCCCCAATATTTTTCAGACAATTTAGGGAATAAGGTGCTTTATGGAGTTCAGTCCGTTTTATTGTGTAGAGTTTTTCTTGACTTTGTTCTTCTCTTTCCATTTCGATTAGTAGTATATTTTCTTCAACCATGAATCAATAAAGATAGCGGCTAACATTACTGAGGTTTCCTTTGAGTTGAAGTGTATTTATTTTTCTTTATGTAAAATAATTTTCAATACATGGTAGCAGCAACCAACGTACACCGTGCCACGTTCACTTAACAACGGAACTCAGATACACAAAAAAAAATCAATTTCCTGGAGCGTCCATATGTGTCATAATAAAGTGCTTGATATGACACAAATATATCACACACAAGTGGAGACATTACATGGCTGCATAATGGCTGAACAGAACAATAATAAAATAACCAAAAATAATATTCACATGAGAACACAACTTAACATATTGTATTAGTTTACGGGTAGTTCTGCCACATCCAAGATGGCGGACGTATCGCTGCAACGGATGAACAACGCTACGGAAGGGGCTTGTAAATTTGCTTGATTAAATCCACTCTCTGAACTAATTTGAGCTCTTACAGACTTGTGGAAGATGTTATGCAGGTTTTTCTGTTTTCAGATCAATAAGAATTAGGCCCAGATCTAACTTTTTTTCTGTATTTATTTAACAGTCGGATGTATAATCCCTTCATGAGGCAGACAGATCTGGGGTCACATTTAGAGCAAGAGGAGCCTCCGTCCCAGGTCAGAGGTCGCCGCCACGGCAACGTCCTGCTGCTGCCCGGAGGAGGGAGTCGGCATGGAAACGAGGATGAGGCCGAAGATCTGGAGGTCTGTGACAGCCTGGAGGTAACAGAGGATCCACAGAAGAAGAAGAAGAACCACGTCCCTCCTGAGAGTAAACGTCTGGAAACGGACAGAAGATCGAAAGAAAGGTCAGACATCTATCTATCTATCTATCTATCTATCTATCTATCTATCTATCTATCTATCTATCTATCTATCTATCTATCTATCTATCTATCTATCTATCTATCTATCTATCTAACTCACCAAAAAAAAAAAGTTTTCCAAACTCTGGTGTTGTTAAAGGGAGGTTTGGTTCTTCTCATTTTAAAATATGGCGTCAACAGGAGGATTTTAAGCATTCTGTTCTTTATTTTTTAACCTGCAGTGACACAATATGTCCAGAAGATGGCAGTAAGTGTTCACCTTGTTTGTTAGATAGATAGATAGATAGATAGATAGATAGATAGATAGATAGATAGATAGATAGATAGATAGATAGATAGATAGATAGATAGATAGATAGA